CCAAGAAGTAGAACATTTAACGCCGAATGCAACGGAACGTACAGATGCCAGGTGAAGACGACAGTGCGACAAAAACATGCCGGCCGTTCAGCCACTAGGCAGTGTCACTGGCAGAGTTCACGCATAGGATTTTTACAACATATACGACTCCCTCGGCTGATGTTTTTGCCAACATATGTGACTCGCTCAATGAGGGTAGCAGAAGGTCACCCACAACAAAACTCACTGCCATATGCCTGGTATTCGTCCTGGCGAAAGAAACGCCTGATTCGTTGGGCTATACAAACCGGAATTTGAAATTAGCAGATATGGATTTGCGTTTAACCCGATTAAAGCAAAATATTAATCCTGCGTACTTTTGAAAATTTAAACTATATGACAAAATTCTGAGAAACAATGAAATACTCCAAGTCTTAACGTGGTTAGCACGATAATTTGTTATGCTGTTGGAGCAAAATGATGCGCTAATGCGAAACAGCATTTTTTCTAAGAAACAAAGGCTACGAATGCATAGGCCGCTTCGAAACTATCGAAGATCTCTTTGCGTAGGACGGAGAGCATACATGTCAGCAGGAAATTCCAGGTGCGGACATTTTTCCTTTGATCCATGTCCAGACGTCATGCTAATGTGATCATACGAGTGTTGAGAAAACTTATTACAAAATATTCGTGGCAACCGATGCGCAAACTGATTTCCATGACTGCAACTGATAGAGTAGTTGTAGATATGTTATCACATTATCATCGAATTGCTTATTGATCGTAAAACTAGAAACTATGAAGTAGAATAATTAAGCAAAATGTCAAAAATTGATAATCGTATAAGAAAAATAGCTTTCATTTGCTTTCTGAATCTTCAAATGCAGAAACCATGGAGAACTGACAGGTGTTTCTTTTAGAATAGAAATAATACTTAAAAACATTTCAAACTTTTTGTAAGCGCCCATAGTACTTATTAGGGTGAATGGTGTGCATTTCACAGGCAACTTCAAGGGAAACGAAGCCCCGGATTGTTTTAAAACAGTCAGTCAGGTTCGACATCGCTAATCCTTTCGAATCGCGGAGACAGATGCGTCAGCCAGTGCTTCCAACGTTCCTGATCCCGTGCCAGCGTTTGAGCATCTGCAGAAAATAAACTGAATCTGCAGAAGAGTCCCGTAATACACCTCTCCCAGGGATCTTGGGCCACTTGGAAACATTGGACAAGTAGTAACTGTTTCGCCCTCCTATTTGAAAGCACTCACAACACTTGTCAAACAATTTTAGCGCTGACTTCTCAGTCTGGACAGTCAGCTCGAATACACCAAGGCACTTTGGACCATGTTGAACAGCAGGAATCCAGCGATTCATCTTTGGAAGTCCATTTCAGCCACTTGTAACCATGATCCAAGTTTTTCAATGATGGTCCACGATTCATGACCGTACGCGGGATAAAGATCGACTTGCATACCGAGAGCTTAGTTTTCAGACCGAGCTCTGCTTTAGTCACAGTGGGTCGGGCTAGTTCACGCAGAACGCCGCTGGCTACTCCAATTCGCCGGTCGATCTCTTCCTCCAACTTTCCATCACTAGTAAATATAGTTCCGAGGTATTTGAACTTGTCTACCTGTTCCACTGCCTCTCCGTTAATCAGAAGAGGGCAACGGGCAGGAGAACGAGAAAGCACTAGGCTTTTCGTTTTAGATGCGTTCACTGGGTGCAGACCTTCATAGAGAGTGGCGAAAATCAGTTTCAAACGATGACAACAAAACAAAGTCGTCTGCAAACAACAACATTCTCGTCGCCACATACGCACAAAGACTCATCACCCTCGCTGTGTCTGACTCTTCTATCCATGTCACAAAATAAACAAGGAAAGGGGGCAGAACGCAGCCTTGGCGGAGACAAGTGCCAATAATGAAAAGCGACTTAACGTCATTTACTCTGACTCAGCCAGCACCTGCTATCAGCATACGATGAATATCGATCCCATGTGCTTACAGGCACGCACATGACTTGTTGAGCGGAATCCGGTAGTAAGATTTCTCTAGGACGACAAAGCACATGCAAACAGGATACGTGAACTGGCACAATTTCTCAACGGTCTGGAGCAAGGCAAAGATGTCCGATAAATGAATCACTCCTTATGGTCTTCCTCGTTGGAAATTTGATTTTATAATTCATATGATCATAAATCCGCTTTTCTACAGCAAATCACAGCTCCTTTGTTACCCCCTCAAATTCACGCCATTAATCGTGTATCAATGAAATGAAATCCACCATCCACACGTGAGCAACTGCGCACCAAATTTGTCTTAATCTACCTAATCCACCGTAAAATGCAAGATCGTTGAGGAACTCGCTCCAAAAATGGCAGAGGTTTCGCACTCATCACTAAG